CGATGACCTGCAAAGGAAAGTATTTATAGAAGAGATGAGCATGAGAGTTTGGATCTGGATGGGGCCAGAAATACCCTGAATTAAGAGTGGGAAGGGGGGCCCATCAAAATCATTGATCTTAAAAATAAGTAAGGCCTGTGGGGTAAAATTTGAAATAAAGCAGAAAGATAAGTTTTTTTTGATAATTATATAACTTTAAAAAGTGTTTATCAGCTTTGAATACCCCCAAGAAGGTCACAGCATTAAGCCAGTTATGGGTCATTCGGACATAGCTGTGAAATTAGTCACTCAGCTTTAACAGCTGGATGAAAAAATAGGGTAGCGCCTGGGATGAGAGAATGCCAGGTCTGAGTAGGTCTTCCTCCCAAAAAGGTCTCTGAGCAGGAGAAGGCATCATAATGTCTGCGCACTGGGGAGTGAATAATTAGGGGGCACACAAGAAGGGATGAAAGACACCAAAAGCAAGCTCACTCGGTTTCATAGTTTCGCTTAAGACAGTTTCAAATAGATGGCTCCCAGCTCCACTGCCTACTTTCCTGTACTAAATTCTTGTTGGAAACTCAGGGTAATGATGAACTAATGAACACATTATTTTCTTGATTCGCTATCCAGTCGATGAGCCTGCACCCCCAACTTGAACATTTCTCTAAGCAGAAAAATCATGAACTGTAGAATGCTCAATATATAGAATATGGGGAAGAACCATACATCTCCATGTTAAAAAGAACATGATGGAACCAGGTGATTTAGGGTGCTCCATAGACCCGGTATTAAATGACAATAAATTACATTGCAAGGCCGGGAGCAGTGGCTCACGCCTGTAATCCCAGCACGTTGGGAGGCCCAGAGGGGCGGATCACGAGGTCAGGAGATCGAGACCATCCTGGTGAACATGGTGAAACCCCGTCTCTACTAAAAATACAAAAAAATTAGCCAGGCGAGGTGGCAGGCCCCTGTAGTCCCAGCTACTCGGGAGGCTGCGGCAGGAGAATGGCGTGAACCCGGCAGGCGGAGCTTGCAGTGAGCCGAGATCCCGCCACCGCACCCCAGCCTGGGCGTCTGAGCAAGACTCCGTCTCAAAATAAATAAATAAATAAATAAATAAATAAATAAATAAATAACATTGCAAGACAGTTATTCCCCTTTCACTTTTCTTTAAGTCTTTCTGGAAAGTCTTTTGTGTCAACATGTTAGCATTTTTTAATCTATATTTTTAACAGAATGCAGGTCCAGACTCTAAACGTTCTTAAAGTTTTAGCATCTAACTAGAATTTAATACAATTATCTTCCATTTATGGTAAATGATACTTTTTCAGTTGACATTCTGATATAAATTTTGTTTCATCTGCTTGTTCTGTGCTAGTCTAGGACACTGAGGCCTTGAGAGGGTAAGTTACTTGACTAAGAAAATTACTATCTTTAAAAACCTTTCCTTTAGCCTCTCTTGACCAGAAAGAACCAGAAACTATGGATCCCTGAAAACGTATCAGATTTCAGTGGCTCACATGTTTATAGCAGCCTTACTCACAATGGCCTATATTATTCCTGCTTCTCATCCACTGCTTCCCCATGGCTGCTGTAACAAAGTGGCATTTGTAGATAGCTGAACAAACTGTCCAGAACTCACAGACAAGTGTAAGTTTCCCACTGTTGGAAATACAAAAGAACATGAGAAAGTAGTGTGTTAGTTTGGGTCTTCAGAGAAGCAGAGGCTAAGGCAGGATTAAACATGTTAGAGTTTTTATTGGGGTAAATGCTTGTGGGAGGGAAAAATAGAGAGTGCTAGCCAGAGACAGCATCAGACTGTGATGCAAGTGTGACCCAGAGTGAAGGGGAGAGAGATGGAAGGGTAGAAGGGCATATTTCAGACAGCCCTGTAGTCCCAGGAAGATCCAGCAGCGTCACTGGGCAGTTCTGGAGCACATCTGCTGTCAGGAGACCACGGTACTCTGCTCAGTCACTGGTGGGAGCATTCCCCAGGAGGCATGGCCTTTGCAGGGCTATCTGGAGCCCCGGGTTGGTTATGCTTCCTGAAGCTTGGGGCGTCTGTGAGGTCTTTTCTAGTGACCACCACAGAAAGAGATGAGATAAACAAATATAGGTTAATATCCACTGTGTTTCAAAGCAGGGCCTATTGTGGTGGCATACCACTTTCAGATTCATCAAAGTGGCTACTAGCATTTTCCAAGGGCTCAGGCAAAGCTCATAATGTGCATTACCTCATTTAATCTTCTCGTCAGCTCTGTGGGACAAGTTCTGTTTTTCTTTCCATTTCACAGATGAGGAAATCGAGGCTTAGAGAAGGTGAGTAGCTTGCTCAAGATCACCTCAGTAAGTGATGGAAGAGGTTTTCAAGTCCCTTAATGTTGTTTCTCCTCCCCTGAAACAGGATTTGTGATCTGTTAAGTAAACCTCTGCCTCCCAGGTTCAAGTGATTCTCCTGCCCCAACCTCTCGATTAGCTGGGATTACAGGCATGTGCCACCATGTCTGGCTAATTTTTTGTATTTTTAGTAGAGATGGGGTTTCACCATGTTGGTCAGGCTGGTCTGAAACTCCTGACCTCAGGTAATTCACCCGCCTCGGCCTCCCAAAGTACTGGGATTATAGGCGTGAGCCACCGTGCCTGGCCTGTTTTGTACTGTTTATTGGTTTTTGACCTTCTAATCATTCTGCAATCCAGGGAAATGCCAGAGGTCCACAGTGGCCCCATGGAGAGGTCACTTACACTCTGGAGAGGGGTGGTGTAAAAAATGGGCTGAACTTTACGCTCAGCGAGGGAATTTGAGTACACTGCACTCAGCATATTTAATGTATGAATCTGTTAACCAAGGTTGTTATCTAGGCTCCACTGTTTCAAATATTTAGAAAGATGACTGAGAACCCAGATTTATTTTACTTTTGAATTCCCTTAGTGTCTGCAGAAAATGCAGCTGACTGCATTGCCATCTCTATAATTGGCTATGACAGTGACCATTTACTCATTACCTGAGTATATTTGGCTTGTCTCAAAACAAGTGGATGTTCCTGACACTTTCAGGTCCTGTCATATTTGATCTGCTCATTGATATAGTAGTTTGAATTCTTAGGCATAGTCCAGTGGGAGTTCCTGAACAGGAAAACTGAAATACTTCCAGCCTATCTTCTTCTTCTCCCTCAAATCACTGACAGCCTTCATATGCCTATTGTAGAATATGCTGAGATTGGAGAATCACTTACTGCCTTGATTTCAACTTCTGCAAAGTAAGGACAAAGCTCTCTGTCCTTCTCACTCTGTAAAATGGCTAAGCTTGGCTGGGTGCAGTGGCACATGCCTGTAATCCCAGCACTTTGGGAGGCCAAAGCAGGCGAATCATGAGGTCAGGAGTTCGAGACCAGCCTGGCCAACATGGTGAAACCCCATCTCTACTAAAAATACAAAAAATTCACTGGGCATAGTGGTGGGTGCCTGTAATCCCAGCTACTCGGGAGGCTGGAGAATCGCTTGAACCCTGGAGGCGGAGATTGCAGTGAGCCGAGATCGCACCACTGTACTCCAGCCCAGGCAATAGAGTAAGACTCCGTCTCAAAAAAAAAAAAAAAAAAAGATGGTTAAGCTCAAAAAGATATGAGTGGAGAAGGTGGAGAAGTGCCAGGAAATGGAAAAAGCATTATTAAGATGGAAACTTCTGGGTTAGGATTATGTTTTGACATATTAACCAGTGTTTTGATTTTCTCCTGATGGTTTACTTTTTCACTATCTCCCTCCCACTTGAGGTGCTTATAATCTCTGAGGAAGATGTGAGCCTTCCTGGTTTTGAACTCCACGTTAACATTCAGGAGACACATTAAGCAGTAATGGGAAGATGACACGGAGGTGTGGGGAGTAGAGACGTCACTGGTCTTGGAGTCAGGATCCTGGAGCTGGCTTCCTCGATCAGGTAGCAGAAATCCCAGGCAGGCTGAGTATCCGAGAAGTGCGCAGGACTTTGCTCTGCTTCCTGAGAAGAGCCCAACGAGGAAGTGACTGCCTGGAGGGTCTCGGTAGTCAGGTCTTGGACAAGGTGCACAAAGGCTCCTCATCCCCAGGGAGGCACAGGGCAGCTATTGGCCGAATCCCCAGAGCTGAAGACTGATTCAGAGAAGACTGATTCAGAGAACACCCAAGGGAGAGGTATCAAGGCTAGAGGCTTCCCTCCACCAGCTCCTGCCACCAGGGCCTTAGCACAGGGAACCCCTGTTGAGGGGTCCTCGGTTGAATAGACTGGTTGACTGAATTTGAGATCAAATTTCTTCCCTGGAGGAATGAGACCCTACATTAGAAGTTAAACTGAAACTGATACAGGCCAGGGCGAGGTGGCTCACAGCTATAGTCCCAGCACTTTGGGAGGCTGAGGCCGGAGGATTGCTTGAGGCCAGGAGTTTGAGACCACCCTCAGCAACATGGCAAAACCCCAACTCTACTAAAAATACAAAAAGTAGCCAGGTGTTGTGGTGCACGCCTGTAGTCCTAGCTATTTGGGAAGCTGAGGCATGAGAATCGCTTGAATCTGGGAGGCAGAGATTGTAGTGAGCTGAGATGGTGCCACTGCAGTCACTCTAGCCTGGTAACAGAACAAGACTCTGCCTCAAAACAAAACAAAACAAAACAAAAAAGAAGTTAAACTAATACAAAAAATATAAAGCTGCATTCCTTGCACATCTGAGCTTATACACTGTTTGTATTTGCTTTGCCCACTGGAGTTATTACTAATGCAATAAGACATGTTCCAGAAAAAGCTTTCACCTTTTTTTTTTTTTTTTTTTTTTTTTTTGAGATGGAGTTTTGCTGTTGTCACCCAGGCTGTAGTGCAATGACACGATCTCCGCTCACTACAACCTCTGCCTCCCGGGTTCAAGTGATTCTCCTGCCTCAGCCTCCTGAGTAGCTGGGATTACAGGCACATGCCATCACACCCAGCTAATTTTTGTATTTTTAGTAGAGATGGGGTTTCACCATGTTGGCCAGGCTGGTCTTGAAGTCCTGACCTCAGATTATCCACCAACTCAGCCTCCCAAAGTGCTGGGATTACAGGTGTGAGCCACCGTGCCTGGCCAAGCTTTCACCTCTGTATGGGAACAAATGAGGAGAGTGATTCTGCACAATTTTGCAAAGCGATATGAACAAATCCTGACCAAGGAAAGGAAGTGCAAAGTGTGCTAAGCACAGGGTTTCAGCAGATAACCGTGATGCGATGTGCACAACGGACAGCCTCTTTGCTGCCTTGTCTCAGGGCCTTTGTCATGCAAACCCTCCACTGAGCCCACATTTTGACTTGCCCTTTGTACATGATTGATTAATTGCAGGCGTTAAGTATATAAAACATATAGACTTCTATAAAAATATTATTGATTTTTAGAGTTTTGTTCCCTTTTGGGGGTAAACCTAAGGAATCACAGACCCCAAGTTCTCAGATGCCAAATACTTTAACTTCTCTAAGCTGTTTATCCATTGTTAAAGTTCTAACTAGTAAGGTGCTTAGATAGTGAAAGATAACATGTGTTAGCTTAAAACATACAAAAATACAGGAAGAAAATAACTTCCCTTTCACTTAATATTTCCTAGGATGGACGCTGGGAGTCTGATGATATACTGAAGGCTGATCTCATATACAAATGAGGGCTTTTCTTTTTGCAGTTCTTGTTGTATTAAATAGATTATAGTTCATTGAGCATAGCTTTGCATAGCATAACCTACCTCTGTTTTTCAAATTCAATGTTTCTAATTTATTGATTTATTAGGAAAATATTTGTTAAGTACCTACTATGAGTCCAGCATTGTGCTGGACACTTACAGTGAACTAAATTGACTGCAGAATAACAAAACACCTTGTCTTCCCAGGATCCTATCTTCTGAGAACCACCCTCTTCTCTTTATCTTCCTGCTTCTGGTCTTACCTTTAAGTACAAGCCCATATACTTACTGTGGGAATGGCTGTTTTACACCCTGACCCAGTTTTTACAACCATGACTATAGGACTTCTGTGGCGTCATGAAAGAAGAACTGGGTATTAGCCAAGTTGGAATATCAACAATGCGATCATTGAATGGGTACTCACTGTATACAAGGTACTGTGCTCGCTGCTAATGGTATAAAAAATTCAGTTCATGGCATCTGCCTTACCCAGAACCTTTAAACTAGCTCAAGGCATCATATTTGCATGAAGTTACAAGGCAGACTATGCTAAAGAAAAAACAAGTAGCCCAGATCTTAGATGGTAGCTGAGGTCACAGGAAGAAAAGAATGTCTTGCATTTGTCTAGAAGCCAAATGGTAACAGCCATTTCTCTATCTTCCTAGAAGTTCCATTTCCTTCTCCACCTTATTGAATGATAGTTTCTCAGTCTTGGAGTCATCATACGTTTCCAGCTTAAGATGAAAATGTAAAGTTTCTCCCCACTCAGAATTTTCATTTTGTGTTTTTTAGGGAGTCGATGTGTGAACTGCAGAGACGGACTGATACCAGCAGGTGGAGGAATTCACCATTTGAACACATCACAGGCTAGTGAATGGTTCAGCAGGATGTGACTACAATTTTAATCACTGCTTCATTTCCCTTTCTTTGTTCCAGATATTTATGCAGCAAAACCCTGTGAGAAGATGAGCCATAATCTGAAGAAGATAAATAAAAATGGATTATTTTTATCACTCTAGACAGAGCATAAAGAGATGGCATTTTCTCCGTTTTAAAATCTCAGATGTACATACATTGAAATCTAAATAAAAAATTATTCTGATAAATTGGAGAAATTTAAAAATTATAAAGAAGTATGGAGTTTCAACATTCTTAGATTTAAAGAACACTCAGCCAGGCGCGGTGGCTCAAGCCTGTAATCCCAGCACTTTGGGAGGCCAAGACGGGGGGATCACGAGGTCAGGAGATCGAGACCATCCTGGCTAACACGGTGAAACCCAGTCTCTACTAAAAAATACAAAAAAATAGCCGGGCAAGGTGGTGGGCGCCTGTAGTCCCAGCTACTCGGGAGGCTGAGGCAGGAGAATGGCGTAAACCCGGGAGGCGGAGCTTGCAGTGAGCTGAGATCCGGCCACTGCACTCCAGCCTGGGCGACAGAGCGAGACTCCATCTCAAAACAAACAAACAAAAAAAGAACACTCAAAGTTTGATGTGCTAGAGACTTGGGCCTCCCAGTGAACCACGAGCTTACAGGATTAGGGTCATGAAGTAGAGGGAGCTGCGCTGGCGTCCAGCAGAGGGTTTCAGGCCTGTCTGGGCACATCTGTGAACTGGTGAGACAGGCCTGGGTGAACTCTATGTGCGTAGGGGAGGTGGAGCCATCTGGGAAAGACATCAGGTCACACCCACTGCTGGGATTTAGATGTATGCGGGCATGTTTAGCAAGCTGTGAGGGCTGAGGAGCTTCCTGGGTGAGAACTCACCCTAAGGGCAGGAGTCTGCTGATTCACTTCACCCAGGAAGAAGCCTTAGTTGTCAGAAGGGAGGAGTAAGTCTGACTATGGCACGGTAGCAGTTTCTGGATTCTGTTCCCTGGTCCGGCTACCTAGAAGCCTGTATACCCTGTGGATGTAGAGGGCTGTCAGCAAACCCTGAATTTTCTCACCAAGCTTTATAGAAAATACTCAGACTCAGAAACAGTGTCATACCTTCTAACTGGAAGCAGTGAGTCATTCTTTTGTATCTTAGAGGAGGATCTGGATGAACTGTGATGACCAGTGGGGCAGGGCGTAGCCAGCAGGACTGGGAGCAGCACATAGAGACACCTCCTGGAGACTCCCAGAAATACAGGACATTATATGCCAGGTTGGCCCCTCAGCCCTGAGTAGCTGGGACTACAGGCGCCCGCCACCACGCCCGGCTAATTTTTTGTATTTTTGGTAGAGACGGGGTTTCACCGTGTTAGCCAAGATGGTCTCAATCTCCTGACCTCGTGATCTGCCTGTCTCGACCTCCCAAAGCACAATTTTATATATCCATTTTGCTGCTGATGGACATTTGGGTTGCACCCAGTTTGGGGTTATTATGAACAAAGCTGCCATAAACATGTTTGTATGTGGTTTTTTTTTTTGTTTTTTTTTTTTTTTGAGACGGAGTCTTGCTCTGTCGCCCAGGCTGGAGTGCAGTGGCCGGATCTCAGCTCACTGAAAGCTCCGCCTCCTGGGTTCACGCCATTCTCCTGCCTCAGCCTCCCGAGTAGCTGGGACTACAGGCGCCCGCCACCTCGCCCGGCTAGTTTTTGTATTTTTTTTTAGTAGAGACGGGGTTTCACCATGTTAGCCAGGAGTGGTCTTGATCTTGTGACCTCGTGATCCGCCCGTCTTGGCCTCCCAAAGTGCTGGGATTACAGGCTTGAGCCACCGCGCCCAGCCGTTTGTATGTGTTTTGTTTTGTTTCAAGACAGTCTCATTCTTTTGCCCAGGCTAGAGTACAGTGGTGTGATCTCAGCTCACTGCAGCCTCCACCTCCCAGGTTCAAGCAATTCTTATGCCTCAGATTCCTCAGTAACTGAGATTATAGGCATGCACCACCACACCCAGCTAATTTTTTGTATTTTTAGTGGCGATGGGGTTTTACTGAATTGACCAGGCTGGTCTTGAACTCCTGGGCTCAAGCAATCCACCCACCTTGGCCTCCCAAAGTGTTGGGATTACAGGCATGAGCTACCGTGCCCGGCCTGTGTATGTTCTTTATTGCATGCATATCCTCATTTCTGTTGGAAATATAACTGCTAGATGTGACATATAAGTTTTAATGCATTTTCTTCTGTATGTGAAAAATGTTGTCTGAGTACAGATGTACTGTTCTTTGGAAGTAAAGTATTTGAAGCAATGAAGAAAGCGAATTTGACTAGAAATCCAGAAAGAAAGAGCTGACATTATTTATAGTGGCTGGGTACTGATACTTTTATTTATGTATTTATGTTATTTATTAATGTCGAATCTTGATTAGTTATCATAAGTTATAATAAGTGGTAACAAGGCAAACCATTTCATTGCTCGTGCTGGATTTAAAAACTTACAGCGTAGTTTTTTACTGCTATCTAGAATCTTTTTAGAATGCCTCATCCTGCAAACTAATTATTAATATTAACCTCAGGACAATAGGCTTGGAAAGTAATTTTTAATTAAAAAAAATTTCTTCCTATCTGTGCAGATGGTTAAAAGCTGATTGTGGCACTCATAGTTTGTAGCATTTACCACTAGAAACCAGGAAAAATCAGTGAATCTTCTAATTTTTTATTTTTAGCTAATAAGTTGGCAAATTTATTGTAAGCATTGACCACTGTGTTTCATGAGCTTAAGCTATGAAGACTGTATGAAAAGGAGCAACACTAAGTCTGAGTCGTAAGAAACAAATGCTTTGTGATGTGGGCCTCACTCAGAATGTCTGTGGCTAAAAATATCCCTGCGGGGGTCAAAGTTATCCAGTGGATCTTGGCTCAACCCTGCGGATTGGGCATCTAATCTACAGGAGCATCGTTTAGCAGATTTCTTGGAAACTACTATTTGTTTTATTTATTTTCTAATAATAAAAATAGAATGTGTTTATTCTAGAAAATTTGGAAAGCGTATACAAATAGAAATAAAAATTGTACGTAATAACGTCATCCTTTGTTAATATTTTGGAGTTTTTCAGTTTTAAAAGTGCCTTTCTTTTTTTTTCTTAACATAGCTCATTTGTTCAACCCATATGTTTCTGAGAACTTCTTGTGTATAGATGGCAAAACTGAACAATTCTGCAATCCTTTATAGGGTCTCCAAGACCATAACTTATACAACAGAATCAAGAACAACTCTAAGGTCAGTGGTGGTGATGGAGAAGCTGCAGAGGGGGATCTCTGGGTGACTGTAACAAAAAAGTGCTAACATAGCAGCCCCGAGGCAGCAGACCTTAGAAAGGCCTACTTGCAAGGTTGACCCACGGCCAGCATCTGGGAACTTGGCTTTCAGGAGTCTTCCTACCATTCTGAGATTGATAAGGATGGTTTACTGTGCCTAGACTATTTGTACAAACCATATGGTTTATGCTGAATACCATTGTCCTGCTGGAAGTCTGAAATTTTATATGTGCTAGGCAGAGGGTTTCTATGACCAGTCCCCAATAAAAACCGTAGGCTCTGAATCTAATGAGCTTCTCTAGTAGAGAGCACTTTGCATATGTTGCCACATGTTGTTGCTGGAGGAGTTAAGTGCATCCTGTGCCATTTTACTGGGAGGATCCTGGAAGCTTATGTCTGATTTCCTTTGGGCTTTGCCCCATGTGCTGATTTTGCTTTGTATTGAATTTTGCTTTTGCTGGTTTTGCTTTGTATCCTCTCACTGCAAGAAACTGTAACTGTGAATACTTTTACTTCTGAGTCCTTTGAGTCCTTCTAGCGAATCATCAAACATGAGGGTGGTCTTGGGGGCCCTTGAAACAATGACCCACTAGGAAATTAAGTTGTCAGATGAGTCATTACCTCTACTTCACAAAGGCCGATAAAGTAAACTTTTTTAGGATAAAGTTGGGCATACAACTCTTTGAGTAGAAAAAATATTAAAGGAAATGTGTTGTTTGGGCGTTGGTTTATTCACAATCAACTCTGCCCATATTGGCTTACTCTCCAATCCCCAAATCACTTACTCTCAATCATACAAGCACTTCTCACTTAAGACTGGCACTGGTTTAGGCTGGGTGCAGTGGCTCACGCCTGTAATCACAGCAGATCATGAGGTCAGGAGTTCAAGACCAGCCTGGCCAACATGGGGAAACACCGTCTCTACTAAAAATACAAAAATTAGCCAGGTGTGGTGGTGCACACCTGTAGTCCCAGCTACTCAGGAGGCTGAGGCAGAAGAATCGCTCGAACCCAGGAGGCGGAGGTTGCAGTGAGCCGAGATTGCGCCACTGTACTCCAATCTGGGTGACAGAGCGAGATTCCATCTAAAAATAAATAAATAAAATTTAAAAAGACTGACATTGGTCTATATAAATTAAGGAAGCCTTTTCAAAAACTTGGCAGGGAGGGAGGTAATAGAAGAGAATAATCTCACAGAGCAGGAAATGCCTTCAGATAGGATATCAGACATCATTGCAGCAAAAGTCCATTAGACAAACACTGTCCAAGGGAATTCGTTATTGGCTGTTTCTTTCCTTGGGTCTTATTCTGCTTCCATGTTTCTGGTGACCATTGTTTTGGAGCAGAATGGCTTTTACCATGTCCTATTGTCTTGAGAACTCCAATTGCAATCTCTGAACTTGTCAGGAGTAAAAAGGAGTCCCTTAAAATGAAACCAACCAGGCCTGGCGCAGTGGCTCACGCCTGTAATCCCAGCACTTTGGGAGGCAAAAATAAGTGGCTCGCTTGAGCCCAGGAGTTCAAGACTAGCCTGGCCAACATGGCGAAACCCTGTCTCTACTAAATATACAAAAAAATTAGCTTGGTGTGGTGGCGGGTGCCTATAATCCCAGTTACTCGGGAGGTTGAGGTATCCGAATCACTTGTACCCGCGAGGCAGAGGTTGCAATGAGCCGAGATTGCGCCACTGCACTCCAGCCTGGGTGACAGAGCGAGACTGTCTCAAAAAAAAAAAAAAAAAAAAAAAAAAAAGAAAAGAAAAAAGAAAGAGAAAAGAATAAAGAAAACAACCGGCCCCCATTCCCAGATGCTATCTACACAAAGTTGAAATACTGCACAGAACAATTTAGTTCCACATTCTCTCAGTCATCTCTGCTGGGCTGGGCTAGGGTTTTCCTTTTGCATAAACAAAGTTTCCATGA